TGTAAAAGTATTTCAACACCCCGATGTGCTGGAGCAGAGGCATTTTTCTTTCAAATGGAGGTTGTCTATCTCGGCAGCTGTAGGGGTGGGTTCGGCCGACCAGGGTCGGTGTTCCGCAGGGGGAGGGGAGGATGCACATCCATCCATGACAACACTATAGCATACAGCAGCAGAGATGGGTGACTGACCCACAAACTGTCGCAATGATCCGCATAACACACAAAGAAACAGGTTAAGAGGAGAGCAGGAAGCAGAATAAATAATAATAAATAATAATAACATGTTCTGCTTCTCCAAATTATGGAAAACTACCTAAAAGTGGAAAAAACCCAAAACAAGTCCAAGAAATAATACATCTCCTAGAGTTGACTGTGACTCTGATAGGGATTAAATTTATGTTTGAGGTTAATAATTAAACATATTCCTTCTGGAAATATCCATGCACACATCTACCAAGCTTGGTAGAAGACTGGGAGATAATTAAAATGGTTAAGGTAGTATCTTATTATTGCGATTCAGCGGCTTGTTTAGACGACACTGGAGTTTCTTACACGGTGTTACACGACATTCTGTGACCACTGTATTTTGATCGTACAAGGCACTGTAGCATTTTAACACTATGCTACGCCAAAAAACAAAAATCAAAACAAAACAAAAAGTAAGTTTTGCGGTAATGAGGGTGCGGGTAAAATAAAGAAAAATCCGAACCAAGAATAAAAACTAAAATAAAAAGTCGAAAAAAAAAAAATAAAGAATAAAAACTAACATTTTACCACTAATATGACAACTATTATGAAAATATTGACGATCACAGAATATGACTTCTTTTTTGAAACCAGGTCTCACAATAAAACTTTTCTGTAACACGTCCCGTAGAAGTGTGAATTAGTACTCCACAAGTGAGAGCGCACATGCGCAGACGTAGGCAACAGGTTTTATTCTACGCATGAACAGGCAGACAACAAAAACAATAGTGGATAGTATATTAATGTTGTGCAGTGTTGTGCTACTTAATCTGTTCACAATCCTGTCGAATATTTTCTGGCAGGAAATCAGAAATGTTATACGAGTACGCCATTCATGGGAGACTGTAACCAACGGGTTTAGAATGCGGTGGAAGCTCAGGGTCAAAAGCGCATGCCAGTTCGACGACATGCTAAAATCACAGCGCCATATAGTGGCCTGGCATGATAACTACAGCCGACTCAACTACAGCGGTCTCGCAAACGCAGCCTAAAACATGCAGGATGCCAGCCCCCGAGCAGCAGATGAATGAAGCACTGAAGCCTCGCTAAAGTTTGGACACCCCCTGAACATTTACAGTCACATCTTTCAAATGTTTTGGGCGAGAGGTGGGGTACACCCAGTCTGTCACAGGGCACTAAGAAGAACATGTTGAGTTAAATTATTGTATTTAAAATGTTGCATAATTTTAGCCATTTAAAGCTGCAGCATGTAACTTTTATAGAAAAACCTTACTATGTGTATATGAGGCAGATAACCTGTAAAAAGATCAATCTCCTTGTGCTGCTATTGTCGTCTCAAGAAAACAACCGATCCCGCTCATAAACAATCAATTAGAGTCAGGTGGAGGATTTTAATCAATCTTGTGAACGTGCTGCTAAATGTGCTAATGGCGGAGAATCAACTTACTTAGCACTCACTAAGGCTAGTCAGACATGCTAGCAAACTAGTCTAGCATGCTAGTTAGCCTAGCATGGCTTCTCCCCATCAGGCATGGGAAGAAGCTCCATTGTAGCAGAGAGGAAGGTGGTTGTTGGAAAGGGTAAGAGTATGCACTCGGGTGTGATTGACAGCGCTAAGACCCGCCTCCTGGCTCTGATTGGTTGTTTCAATTACATCACTGGGAGGAGGCAGAGGAGCTTGATTTTTTTCATATTATCTTTCTCATATCCTACTGTCACCACATAGTGACAATTTTAACAAATACATAAAAATATATGTGTATTTTTTATAAAAGTTACATACTGCAGCTTTAATTAAGACCCATCAGGTGCCTGATTCTTCTTGTAGTTCTGCATGCGTTCGTGCAGCTTTGTTTCCTACTGAAACTACAAGCAGGTAAATGCAACGCAGAGCAATTCAGAAGTGCTTTCAAAATACATGAGATAGTAAAGGGAAATTTGTCATTAGGACCCTGAAACATGAGGCAATAACTACTGACTAACTACTCTATGAGTAAAGCAACAGAAAGGGGCCAGTGCTGCTCAGAGCAATGGAGGCTGCTCTGGGCTTGGGGCTCGTCATGTTTGGCCTTGTCCGTACCTGCGATTCCCCTCTGAAAGCCAGGAGCTCAGGTCAACGGTAGTCATTGATACCGCTGCTTTGGACTGGAGTCGTCTAATTGACTCTGGCTCCTCCCCTCCTCCCGCTGTGACTGCCTCTGTCGGCTGCTCGATCTCAGTCAGACCCCCAAAGGTCACAACCCTGCCATGACCTCGTCCAGCCTTTGCTGATCCGCTGATTCCGTAAGTTCTCTGCAGACAAGCCTGACACACGGGGGCTGGCCTATCCTCACTGTAGATGCGGTCTCACAAGTTAAGAGAAGGAAACACACACACACATACACAGAGGCACAGGAAGCAGACAGGGACAGGGCGGAGGAGAAATCATGGAAAAGAAGATCAGACTTTGAAGACAAAAGCTTGATGAGGTTGAAATGTTTAGTTAGACGGGAAGCGGTGGGTGAACAGAGGACAGAGCATGGGGTTTTCTGTTTGGATCACTTCAGCACACAAACACACTTCACATTTCTATCTCTTCCACTATTAGGTAGCCGCATTTTCCTCCTCACTGCTGCTCGGCTGGAGCACAAAACACCCCTTTATCCTGTTCCTCATGTCGCAATGAGATCAGCACAGAGACAGAAACAAGGCCGGAGCAGTGCTCTCACACACACACAGTTACGCACACACACGCCAGCCAATTCCCTGCTCCTTTTAATGCCAGTTGAACGAGAATATAGAGAAGTGGAAAGCTCCAATGACAATTAAAATGTGTTTAGAAAGTTAAAACTTCTGAATGTGTTTCTTTAATAATTACTAACTACATGTTTGGGGTGTAAACAAGACACTGCAGTGGTTATCTTGGGATGAATCATTTCTGTTGATTGATAATGACGCAGATGAACACATGTGCAATTCATTGCACAGTTGAACACATGTGCAATTCATTGCACATGTGTTCATCGCAGTGCACTGTGGTGTTGGTTTGATAGGCGTTTTCTCTGGGGGAAAAAGGAAACTGGAAAAAGTTGCAATTCTTCATCAACTGGAAGAAAAACTAAAGGTGTGAAAACGCCTTCCGTCTCACCTGACCAAATATTCTCCCTAACGTCCAATTACTCTACATGTTTACATTTGTGATGGTAGTTGGTATAAAAACTGTTTTCTCCTTCCATGTGATGGTTGTTATGGAAACCTTGCCTCTCTGCATGCTGTTTTTTTTGCTGCTGTTCTTTGAGATACGTCCCTCCCTCACCGCGTCCTCTCTGTGCGTGGGGGGAAGATGAATTTGAGTCATCGTAAAGCCTCCCCCCACAGTTTCCACTGGTTTTAAACTTTGTTTTTATTATTAGGTGAGTAGCAGTCGTCTTGCTGCCATTTCCTGATTCAAAAAGATGAGTGCACATCTATCTTACAATAAAAATAAAAAACAGCAAATCAATCATCCAACCAATGAAAAAAGTTGACACAAACTATTGGTTGGATTTTCCTAAAATGTTCAGTAAGATATTAAAGTTCAGCAACAAAAGATGAACACATTTTAAGGCTTGGCTAAGTGTGGAGAGTCTGTGTCTGTATGTAGCTAACCGATACTCTAACTCACATTCAAGACTCAAACTCACTATTAGAGCTTTCACTTTGCATTCATTTACGGAAGCATTAGCTATTTTTAAAGGTAATTTAACACACACACACACACACACACACACACACACACACACACACACACACACACGTACACGCACGCACACACACACTCGCACAGATAGATATGATGCAGTCATGTGAAAAAAAGAACACCATACAGCATTCCGGGCGAGAGGCAGGGTACACCTTGGACAGGTTGCCAGTCTGTCGCAGGACTTTAACAACTCTGCAAAGTTCAAATTATACGCTAAAAGTGGTCTTAATAAACCTTCAAACATTGCCATAGGATCTACAGCAGTTACTGTCAAGTCTTCTGGAATAATGCTCTTAGGGCAGAGGAGTCTAACCCTGAATTATTTAGATACTAAAGCAGAGGAAATATTGGGTATGAAACAAACAGAGCACTCCAGGAAAAGAAGCATTGAGGTCAAAGTGTCATGGTTTGGCTGGACCTGGACATCTCATCTTCATACGACCCACCATGAATCTCAGCAGGTATCAGAACGGAGCACCGATCCATACCAGGACATCCAGCCAGGACTTCCTGAAAAGTCCTGGACCAATCCAAGCCAACATCCTGATCTCCTTGAGAAACCCTTCAAACATCTCCCAGCTGTAAGTGAGGAGTGGGTCAGACTTTCCTCAGGCTGACGTTAGAGATGGTGGAAGGCTATAGAAGTGTCCAACAAGGGGTAAGACTATGTATTAGGGAGGTAGGTTGTCCTACATTATTTCTTATCAAACACATGAAGTGGTATCGTGTCTGGTGAGTAAAAAATAATATTTTTTACAATGGTTACCTGTGATTAATCACTTTCTTTAACTGAGACAAACAAAAGAAGGACTAAATTTTGATGCGTTTGTGAACATTTCTTTTGAAAAACTCATTGTTTTAATGGGGTGTCCTAACTTTTTCACCTAACAGTACATCCCTGACGTACAGCACTGAACTACTCTCATACAGGCAGTGTGTTTGGCACCTTGGTTCAGTCATCCTGAGCCTCTCCCACTTCTGTACATCAGACGGACTCATGGAGGAGGAAACAAAGCTCATTGGTCCGTCCCTCTGAGGGAGGGGCCTGCTTTGGCCCCGCCTACGAGCCAGGTCATCTCTCTGCTTATTTGGCATCGTCTTATCTTTTCCCTCTTCTCCCTCATCCTCCTCTTCCTTCAGGGAGGGGTTGTCTTCACGGGTTATGATGTCACAGACCGCTTCCTTCTCGCTGTAAAATCCATAGCCACAGGCGATAAGCGGGGAAACGTTATCCATCAGAGTTAAGCATATGTCAACCACTGATATATGTTACTGGACTGGACATTACGTGACTTATGTGCCACACGTGCGCCATTACTATGTATTGAGTCAGGAATATCAGTGATCGGGGAAAATAAAACAATAATGCAAAGAATGTGAAAAAGGGAAGCAATGTTTTCCTTTTAATTGTCAACACTATGCCAACTAGATCACAAGATACAAGGGAATCCCATTTTACAGGTCAGGAAAAGGTTTTAATTTTAAAAAAATATAGAGAAGTGGGAAGTAGGTGAGTTATGCAAGCTTGATTTGAACCTTAAAGTCAAGCTTTAAGGTTAAAGATATAATAACTAGTTGCTGACTAGTTATGCTAGCTTAATATGTACTGTGCAGGTTGGTGTTGTTTTGGTTCAGTTAACAGAAAAATGAGGTGACCAACACACCTACTCTCTGACAGATAATCAGGAGAAGAGGTGTTTAAATTGAGTAATCAATCAGCGCTGTATTCAGACCATCCCTTATTAATAATTGCAATGTAAACATCAAACATCAATGTAAACATTGAGCCCATTGCATAAAACTGTAATGGGCTTAATGTTTTGGGGTTTTATGTACTTTTTGTGGGGGAAATGTTTTTGTGTTTTTTGATGTCGATTCATGATACACTTGAACGTAATCTCTCCCCTGCCAGCTAGTGGAGTTGTTGTCAGTTCATTGCCATGACAACGTGTCTGCATGCAGAGTAAAGCTGACATAGGCTGAGTTTCCATTAACCACAAAACTGTGCAACTTGAAATTACCAAAAATAAAAATGGACGACAGGAAGTGGTAGGAGGATGATGGTTTGTTTTTGGTTTTTTTCAGATAATCTGCAGCCGGATCCACCAGAGCTCTCACAGCATCACACAGTTCATAAAACGTTGGTGTCATTTAAACGTGTTGAATCCATAACTATGTTCATTTGTGATTTTACTTTAACTTCTTATTTAATGGAAACACCAAAGTTGCAAAATTGTGTTTTTTAGACGTTAGCAGAATGTAGACAAAGTTCTGCACACATTTGTGATGGAAATGCAACTACAGAGACAGAGAAAAGGCAGAATGCAAGTGGTTTAAAGTTGTTTTACATCTGTTTATCTGTATTATTTTCCATCGTTGTGTGCACTGCAGCAGTTGTAATTCCTAAAAGTTCAATAAACAATAAAAAGCTGGACTAAGAGCCTTGTTTGTTTGTTGAAGGTGGCAATAGCCATTACAATCATTAAGTAGGATGAAATATTTTATAAAGCATAGGAGCCATAGTTTGTTAAATTTCAACAAACTATGGCTCCCTCAGCAGCAAATATGTCAAATTAAATTACTGACCAATATAAAAGAGAAATCCTCTTAGTCCTCCCTTGCATCTTGACAGAAACTAAACTGTTTATAGATTTATCTATCAAGGGTGAATACATTTTTTACATATCAAAACATAGTTTACAGAAATCAGATAAGAAAAATATCACTGCAACCGATTCCTGGACAAGTCTGGTATTGTTGACATGACTCAATGCATAGTAATGGCGCCTGTAGGTGTACATCACTTGCAATTGTGGCTAATAGGCGCTATCCAGTATCCAGTAAAGTGTATTGATGTTGTCAACCAGTGGAAAAAGGAGAGATTTATTATTGGTTTGGAGAAAATGGAACACATGAGACCCTAGCTGACCTGATCTCCATCTGCTGCAGGGTCTGCTGTGAGGCTCGCCTGATGCCCTCCCAGCGCTCTCTGTCTCTGGTGGTGCAGGCTGGAGGAGGGACGAACTGATGGACCCTGGAGTTACCTGGGCTCCGGTGGACTCGTCGGGATGCCAAGTCGTCTCTGTGGACATCGGGAACCCTCCTCGTTTCTGCATCCTGCTCCCCGTCGGAGGAGGAATCACAAGCCGGACTGTGGGAGCTCAAAAATTCATTTTCAGAGCGAAGAATGATGTTCGGAGACGGTGACCTCGTTTCTTTTTCCTCCGTTATCGCAGTGCTAGGGGTCGCAGAGGGGACGATGGACATTTTTAGAAAGCAGAACACACCTCCGGTAACATGAATCAATCAGCAGCAGGAACATGCGGGTCACTTGGGACAGTCCTGTTGGTTAGTTTCTCTTCACAAAATCAGGAATCAACCAAAACAGGAAGCATTTAACTCAACACCAAACCACCTTCTCTAACATCAAATCCATGACTCATCCACCCTGTGACACAAACCTCATTGTGATGAAGCTCCACAAGCCACAACATCAGCTTAAGCCAAACTCTGTCAACACAACTAATTAGTGAGGAAAACCAGGCGCAACAGCCAAGCCTCTCATGCCTGTCCGCCCTGACCTGTTGTAGCGAACGGCAGCAGGAAGAACCTTAATTCCTGCCTTCTTCAACTTCTCCAGCCTCCTCTGCTCCAACACCTCCAAGTCCTCTCCCTGTTTCAGTTTTTCGGCCTGGCTTTCAGGTGCCCAAGTCACCGTTTTGGGGGGTTTCTGCTGAAATCCGGTTCGTTTGGTTTGTTCTGGAATGGTTTGAAGGTGACTGAGGAATGGAGTGTGATGGCAGGGGACAGATTAGGGGTTGAAGACCTCACACCTGTGGAATTCTTCTTCTTTTTTTTTTCTAACCTCTACAGAAAAGCATTTGTTTTTCCTTAAATAGCTCAGATTGTTTTCTTGGTCATTACCTCCTCTGCTCTCCTTCCTCTGGGTGTTGTTTTCGTCGCGGGGTCGGGATGTAGCAGCTGGCGTTGGCTCGGTTTGGAAGAAACTGGTTGAAGGGAACCGGGCATCTGGAGTCGCTGCTGGCTGTTCTTCTGGCCAACATGTCATCTTTCCGTACGTCGGGTTTCCTGCTGGGAGCGTCAGCCTCCGAGTCGCTGCCGCGTCCTGGGGATCAGGGTGTTAGAAACCCATCAGTTATGCATAAAACATTCTGCTAACCACTGAACACAACTAACAAGTATAATAGCAATGCATGTGATCAGTCTAAAAAGATTAACACGTTAATATTACGTTATGCAGATTAATCACATTATATATTTTGTGCATTAGGGCCACTATAGATACAAAAAATGAGGAGTAGGACATTTTGGCAAAAAAACTTGGAAATTTTTAGATTAATCTCAGACATTTTCTAGAATAAAAAGAAGGAATTTTCTGAATTTGAAAAGTTGAAAATATGCTAGGAAAAAAATCAGACATCTTGAGATTAATCTTATAAATGTTCTAGAAAGAAAAAACTAGAACATTTCTGAGTTTCAAAAGTTGAAAATTTGACTTTTGTAGCTCAGAAATTTCCAAGCTTTTTAAAGGAGTTTTTATATTTTAATCTCAAAATTTCTATGTTCTCTGGCGAAATTTACTCCTCCTCCTTTATGCTTTTTCTGTCTACAATGGCCATTGTAATGTACATATTGCAACATTGAGTTATCCTTCCGCTGAAACACAGGCTATTTATAGTCAACATTTCTAAATTATGTTTTAAACCAAATGACTTCTTTTAAACCTTCCAGAATATGAAGTCCTTGAAAAACAAAGTCCTTGGACATGTCTTGTTTGAGACAATAAAGCATTTTCTTAAACAATGTCCATTTCTACATTTCAAACTTAGATAGGCATGGTGATCAATCAGAGCTCTAGAGCAGTGGAGCAGTAGAGCACACTTCCTGCTAAAGAGCCCCCTGGTGGTTGAAGAAAAATCCACATATAAACCGGAAAATACAATAAATGAAAAAAAAAAAAAATCTGAATGCTTTCTGGTATTGTTCAGGGGGCTGGACCAAATGTGGAGGGCCAGCAGGCCGTAGTTTGGGGACTCCTGCTCTAGAGTATGATTAATCTGATTTCATTTTATATTCAGTTGGCAGCACTAATAAGTTATTATCTGTAGAACTGATCAGGAAGAAATGTGCAGCAAAGTTTTTATAGTTAGTTCATTTGTGTAGTGTCATAAACAGTGGTTGTGGTGAGGATATGGACGCAGGCGGACCCAGGAGGTAAGTGAAAATGATGACTTTAATGATGGTATCCAGAAGACAGAGAACAGCACGGGGAAACAGGCAATACATGACAAGGATCCGATGAGAAACAAAGACAACAGGTGGGTTTAAATACACACAGGGTAATCAAGGGAATGAGACACACCTGGGAAACAATCAACGGGGAAGACGCAGAGACAGACTCACAGGGAACAGGACTACACAGACAAAAAACTCAAAAATAAACACACAGAAACACGGATCATGACATGTAGCATCTGGTCCTCTGCTGTTCTCTCCCCACTGCTTCTCACTCTGCACACCTCAGACTGTCACCATGAATCAGAGTCCTGCCATCTGCAGAAATACTTAAACCACTCTGCAGTTGCGCTGTGTATCAGAGATAGACAAGAAACTGAGTACAAACGCTTTTTCCATAATGAGAAATAAACACGTCGCCATTAAGAATGAGAACAGACTGGACCAGGGAGGCAGCAGTGAGGCTCAGCGGAGAGCAGACCTCCTGACTTTAAAAGATTTGACTTTGGTATCTTGAAATTAGGCCTCTGTCTCTTTAAGAAACTCTTGCTCTTTCTAGAACTTTGTCTTCAGGAAGTCATCACAACACCTCTGCTTTAAACCCTTTAACAACATGAGCTCAGCTGATGCTCAGCTCCACCAGGTGTTTGCTAATTGCTGCTGGCTAGTCTGAAGGAGCTGAATGGGGGAGTCACACGGGAGGACTGTGTCTTGGGCGGAGCTAGGTCCACCCAGCATTTTGCACAGCTTAAATGGTTGCCATGGGAGATTCAAGGATTTCTCAAACATACATGAAAGAACATGAAACATTCCAGATATGTTAACATTAGAACATCACATAAGGCTAAAACAAGTCAATTTTACATAACACTGTTCCTATAAGCACAACACACCTCTAACCAGAACCACAAAGCCTACAAATGTAGACTGGACTTTGAATCGGTCTGCAGATGGTCAGTGAATATAGCAGGAAAAGTCCTAAGTGGGCAACCTAAATTAGTACATACACGCACGCACGCACGCACTGTGATGTCCAGCAGTTGTCTGCCCTCAGCCTTAGTTAGTAGTCACCTTATGCCAAGGGTAAACCTAAACATGGACTGCTGTGGAGGAGAGCAGTCCATGTATTTTTGGGTAAACAGTTTCGTGTTTACAGGAATAGCTCAGCATTCCTGAACTTTGTTTCCAGAGCTGTTGAAGACAGTTTCTCCTGTTCTCTTGAGTGGGCTTTACACAAAAAAAGTTTGAAACTAGACAGCAAGCAGCAGCAAGAAACCTGTTAATGACTCTCTAGGAAAAAACATCACAGATGAAAAGCAGCTGGTATAATCTTGGGGTGTTTGGGGTGTTATTATATGTTGTGTTTGTACTTTACTTTTGTCTTTGTGGTTTATTTAACTTCAAAAGGTCTTGACATATTCAATTCATTATTATTACTTAGAAGTTGTTGCTATAGCAGTTTATCTTATTCTTGTGTTCTGTTTCTTGTATGTTTGTTTATTTCTGATTATTTGACAGGTTTTCTTCTTGGTATTGCAAATAAAAGCATGCCACCAACCATCGCTGTTGCCTCGATTCACAACATCAGGAGAGGGGCTGTGCTGCGAGCGGGAACCAAAGGAATCCAGACTGAAGAAGCAAAAGCAGAAAAAAAAAACCCCAAAAGGATATAAAATATTTAACTTTTAAAAAAATAACAGTTACATTTATCTAAATGCGAAAGCAGCTTTTGTGTTGACAAGATGGCTGACATCTGACCTGTCAAGAGAATTGTCCCGAGTGTGTTGAGGCGGAGAGAGAGACTCGCTCCTCTCCGAGTCCCAGCAGTCGTAGCCGCTGTCTCGAACGCTGCGCTTCTGAGAGCTGTCGCCGCCATCATCACTTTCCTGCAGAGACAGGAAAACGTCAACGGACAACCAGACAACAAAAGCTGTCCCTACCTTAACAATAAAACTGGACTTCAAGTCTAATACCACTCTTCTGAAACAGAGCACCACTCAACAGAAAATGTTCCTTTCACTGAACCCAAATTTGTTGTGTTTTTTAAAATAGCCTTAGCTACAAATGCATACATGTTGATAGGAGTACCAAAGTTTAAATATTTGCCACTTTGAAAATCCTTACATGTGAAGGTTTATGAGTCCTTCCTGCTGATAAAATGTTTAGTCATGCAGCACAACCCCTCTGCCAACCATTGCTGTGCACTGCCGACCAGCTGAGTCAAAGAAGGCTGTTATGCTTTTTACTCAACTAAATTACAGGGTTTTTATTCAAAATCTTTACGTGGGTGAATGTGTCAAAGTCAAAATAACAAAGAAAACAATATAATTATTATAACAATAGCAACTAATAATGTTACATTGTTAATTTTATTCAATATTTGTACCATTTTGTTATGTCCTCTCAGATGCCACTGGACCTGGTCAGCCACTGGACCTATTGATTTTACACTGGTTCTTGTACTCCTAATTGAACAAATTAAAGTTGTGTTGTTTTTACAAGGTGGACCAAGCTTGTGAACCTGTTGGTGTATTTAAGTGTGCTGTTCTAGTGCAGAGTTATCAGGTAAATTTGTAATTCGGTCCATTTATGTATGTGCTTTAAAAGACAGAAGCATTTAAGTAAATTCAGCTCTGTTCTCCTGCATCCTCCTTCAAACAGGAGGATACAGAAAAACATCTGTATCGGTATTGGAAATGAAAAATGTAAAAAACTAATGTAGTGAATATCGTCTGGAAACAGACATGTTGTTCCATGTTGTGTTGGTATTCCAGACTCTTCCAGGTGTTTTCAGACTAGTTGACTCACCAGCTTCATTTGAGCCAGAAGGCCTTCAAACTCTTTCAGGTTCAGATTAGGACCGGTATAGGAAGGACAACCACTGGCAGCTTTTCCAAGCCAGAAAACCGTGTTCAGCACCTGACAGGCAGACATGCAACATTTCCTTCATATCTAGAAGTGAGAGGGGATGTGAGAGGACGGGGGGCCAGAAGGGACTGAAACTGGAAACAAGGACTTACATTTTTTAGTTTGCGGTTGCAGTCAGAGTCCCTGAAAACATTAAAGTATGTCATACATCATGCAATTTATAATTCAAGTGTTTAAAAAAAAATCCCAGAGAATTGGTTATGTACTTGAGATTAGCGCGTATGGAAGTATCCTGTAAGTCCCCTGGGTCAAACAGCTGGGAGCCCTTCAAGCCCAACTCCTCACAGCCCCGGAGAAAAACTGACAGGTTGTCCTAGAGGGAGCAGCAGGGGACCAGAGGCAGTTAGCACCAATCAGGAGGCTGCTGTACTGGGCTCAACATCACGCTGCAGAGGCGCCCTCTTACCAGCCCGGCGATGGGGGTGGGCAGTCTGTTGATCTTCTTCACCAGTCCGGGTTTGATTGCACTCAGCAGCCTGTGGAGGAGGGGCAGGAACAGAGATTTACTGAGTCTCAGTCCGTGGGAGTTGTTGCTACGTCAGGCGTCAGAAAACAGAGAGTGATGTCAGGAGCCCTACTCGCATAACAGGATGCCGTTCTCTAGCGCGCTGCGGAAGTCTTTGTCTCCAAAGCTCTTCCCTGTTGCAGCCTGCAGAGGGAGGACAGGAAGACATGAGGACATGGGGCAGAAGAAAAGGAGACATTTGTTCACGCAGCAGACAAGAAAACAACAAAGTCCACACATGTTTGTACAAGTTTATCAGGAAAAAAAGACTTTCAAAGTTTGTGGAATAATCTGTTGACCGGACAAACATTAGATTTCCACTCCGTACATCAAATCCTTATGGAAGAGTGAAGCTGGACAATAAATCAATAGTAATAATAATAATACCAACAGACACGTGATTAATATCAACAAATATGTCTGACAGATTGTTCAATGACTTCACTGAACTCCAATCCAGAATTGCACATTTTCTCCTGTTGTTGCTCTTCTATACAGGCTGCATTCTAAAGTGCAAAAGAAAGCGTTGTCCTGGCGACAGATTCTCCCACCTGAGCGGTGGCTCTCTGCATCTCCTCCAGAGTTACCATGGACCTTTTGCCTGCTTTTCTGATCCTGTCTGACCCGTCGGGTGAACAGAGCACCGTGAGCAGTCAACGTTTGGCATGTTGTTTTCTAATTTTAAAGGGGCAGTATTATGTATTTTCTATTAGCCACATAGAACCATTTCTATCACACAATCAAGTAACTGTTACCTTCACTTGTCATAAAAACGCTGCATATATCAAATATGACTTAAAAGAACTTTGACTTCATAATTTAACTTCTCAAAATTGGGCCTGTGTCTCTTTAGGTAGATCCTGGTCTTTCTGAAACTCTGCTTTCAGGAAGTCATCACAGCATGGCTTCTCTATTAACCTTTAACAAAGTTTTTACCAGTTTTTCACCAGTAAAAACATAATGAGGTCATCAGATATGCAGTTCTACCAGGTGTTTGCTAATCGCTGTTGGCTAGTCTGAAGGGACCTGAGGGGGAGAGCTGCTCTGTAATAAGGAAGCTTGGAAACTGCAGCTCAGAGGAGTTTTGTCCTCCACTGAGCTGTACGCAATCATTCTGCTGCGTTTTGCACAGTAAACAGAGTCTACACAGTTGGACTCTGTTTACTGACTTTTCTTAGAAAGAGATGGAAAAGCATGTCTTCTTTCCATTCCACTTCATGCACCACTTTGTCTTGATGTCAATCCCAATGCACACATTTAAGTTTGTAAAAGGGTCAAGAGGTGCAAATATTTTTGCAGTGCATCTGATTTTTTTTTCCATATGTGGGTCAGATGAAAACACAAAACATTATTAGTTCTCTGTAGATCTGATTTAAATTCTGCAATTTAATCTCCTTTGCCTTGGATTCATACACTGTGACTGACTGACAGAGGAACCTGCTGCTTCCCCATTGGCCCTCCCTCCTCTCAACATTTTGCATCAGTGGAGACAAATTAAAGCGATTCCAGGTCAGCGAAACACTGCTTCATGTCCTCATTTCATTCTCTCTGAAATGCCACCACACATAGCCTCAATCCCCCAACCTGGACTACAGTTGGGATTCATTGCAGTGCAGCAGGAGAGTGAGTGAGTTAACGGCGCTATCCTGCCAAATCATCAGCCCACATACTCACGCAAGGAAACAGAGAGGAAGAGAGAGATCTCAATGGCTGTTGTGTAACCGGCGGCCGAAGATTAAGGGGAAAAGGAGATGACTGATGGCATTTAGAAGTCTAATCCAGATTAGCTCAGATTATGGTTTGCACCCAAACTGTGACTTTTGCTGGATCACGGTTCATTAACAACAGCAATCGACTAATATGGATTTTTAGCAGTTGGTGGAAATTAATAAGAATGCATGATTGTATGGGGAAACTTTTCTTTAAAAAATATGAGTATTATCTTCAGTTTATGAGCTGAAATCCATACTATCCCTCCCAGATATGTCAAATTTATTTACATAGCATTTTTAAAAACAGGTTTAAAACTGCACCAAAGAGCAGTGGATATAGTACTTCTCTCTCACCCTCAAAAATATTTACTTTGGTTCAGTGCTCGGAATTAATGGGTCTTCAGGAAATATCTTGTGAGTTCTGGACTTCCCAGTTTAATATCCTCAATAAAGATACAAACCTAAACTAGAGAGTGAGTTTTCACCGTTTCTTCTTGGAATGGAGAGGCAGCTCTGCCTGGTAAAAGCTTCAGACAACGGAGTGACGTTAACACCACTGCTAACCTGCTGTACTTCCAGCGTTAGCTCTGTGAGTACCAGTCAACCTGAAGAACATTTGCAGACTTAAAGCTCAGACAATAGACTAAAGTCAGCCCACAGCTTCAGTTATTACAACTAAAAACTAGCAATCAGGCCTGAAATCTGGGTGTAGTGATGGACTCAGATCTGAACCTTCAGAGTCACATGAAGAACATTTCTAGAATTAGAGGACTAATAGAGATTAGTAAGTTAAAGATATGGTTTGACCATAACAAATTATCCCTAAATTTGGACAAGACGAAAATCATGGTCTTT